TGTACCAAATACATAAAAAAAGAAAAAAAAATCACATTGTAGTGCACTTTCTGCAAGACCCCCGTTTCAGATATAAAAGCTTCTAAATGAAAAAAAAAAAACTGTCAGCATTAAAATACTAGCCAAATAGATATGCATGTATTTTTCACATCCATGACTCGGTCTACCCCATTTTGCAGAAATCTGAGTCATGCTACTCTTTTTACGTTATGCAAAATATCGAGTACTTCTGATCTCCCTAGAGTGACCTCCTCCTGCTTACATGTCAACCTGAGGAGGGGTCACGTCTATTGGGAGGGTCTTGTAGTTACCCATTCTGGAAGACCAAACGTATCACTATGTGCAAAGCTGGTCGTACCTGCGTCTCTCTATTTTAAGATATGGCGTGCATTTCCCCCAGTAGCTAGAATTCACCACACAGTCGAGGGGCTCTTGTAGACTCTCGGAAGACAGAGCAGAGTCGGGCGGGATCCTTTTTAGCCTGTGCATAGAGCCAACGGGATTTCCCTTCTCTGCAGTGTTTCCTGACAGAGTCCACAAAGACAGCATGAAGGCTGCAATGTTCTTCATCATCTTACTTCCTAATAATAGGTGCTCTATTTAACATTTCTGGAAGGCTTCTTTTTCAATTGCTTAAAATAGGAATAAAGAGCCAGTTTTTAGGCTATAATGAGGACTACAAAATGCAGTAATTATTTCTGTGTGTGTATTTGGACATCTCCAAGTTATATACCTTAGAGAAGTTCCACACTGATGCATTAAAATTAATTAATTAAAAATTGGGGAAATAGGTGCAGAAACATTTTTTCAGATGCACAAAAATCAACTGCAGTAGGATATCCTTTGTTATTCTGTTCTGGAATGAGAATTAATTAGTTTTCTTTGTCATACATGTTTGTGGCAAAAATCTGTTTTAAATCTTATGTAAAGCTAGACCTTGGTTGCTAAGGTAGCTGTGAGAAGCAAGCGTGGTTTATTGCATCTGCTTGTTAGAAAACAGAGTGCACATTCAGCGTGCACCTCGCTCTGACCAGCAGCTGCAGATTTAACCTCCACCAATAAGCTGTTTCTAACAACAGAATCATCACATCCATGTTAACATACATTTTCAACTATGATTTGCGGTAATACACATTTCAGATCATTTCTGTCAAGCATGTCTATTTAGTTCTCAAACATCACATCCCTGGACCCTAAAGTGGATATTAATGTGTCCAATACCTGCAGTACAATGGTGAGTAAGTGCACAAAATGAAAAGAATGAACGCCACAATTTGACACAGTGGAATTTGAATGCAAACTGTGGGGAACCACTGTAACACAGCCACTGTGCGTCCAGTTGCCGTTATCATTTCCAAAGGGCTTCTAGACTGTAAAATCCAAGGTATTGCTTCAGATTTTGGCAATGTTCACTGGCACTATTTTTTTTCCTATGAGGACTGTTACATATTGAAAGACTACTTAGGATTCTCGGTTGACTACAATATAATGGACTCATGAAAGTGCAACTAGAAAGCAGGAGACAGTAGTAAATAACAAAGACCCAGGTAAGCTCTACCCACTCACAGAAAAACAGTGAACGAGCATGAACAATAGAAAAAAATCCAAGCAGAGCAAAGCTGCGGCTCTCTACTCTCCTGACGGTGCCTTCGCAGAGTTCCTTCTTCAGTAGCTACTCGAGACCTTGACAGCAGGCAACGCCTGTCTGTCCGCCCTGCCCGGACGCCCTCTACGGACCCCCGCAGAGAAGGCGCTCAGCCTGAGATCAAAGCCAGTTTCTACGCG